AGCATCATTCAGGAGATAAGTTGGGAGGAACCCCTTTGATTTAGTCATGAGTTTAATATACATTAAAAAATGGTCTACCGTTAGCATCGCTGCTTCTCAGCAGCAGCATATCTGCCGGAATGATCTCATCGTGAGAAAGATGCACGAAATCGCCAACGAGGATATGTTTCCATTCTAACTTGCGATACCTGAAAGAACACGATTTTCTATTGGAGGCTTGCCTATATGATGTCAACCCACCTTCCCTGACTCGAGTCCCAAACACGGCAGGTGGAATGATTGACTTTTTGATCGGATTTGTATCGGCGATAATCCTGAATCGATGCAATCGAGCAAAATATAGCGAAAACAGCCGATATGACATTTTTGCAACAAAAAATCTACCAAGAGCTTTCAAATAAAAGAACAGTGAAGCAATGGATACCTCGAAAGCGTCTTTTATAGCTGTGACTCCGAGGACGAAAGAGATTGGCATCAATGAGATGTATTTCCCAAACGCTCCAATTATCATATTCAACACAACAATAAAAATGAAATATAAATTGGCTGCCCGATGTAGCTGAAAAACGAACAGTAAGACAGTATCCAATTTTTGATGCTGAGTAAAAGTAAAAAAAAGGATGAAGCAATGGCTTCAAAGTCATGTGGTACGATATATTGGTCCGTTGGGGACAAAAGTCGAGTGCTAATATGCACAGCAAAAGAGAAGGAGTCAAAGGAAACGGTTCAAAACCCGCAGAACGGGACCTCTGTTTTTTCCCCGTCGAATTCTGATTTGGACGAGCCACATCAGTGCTGACGTCATCGATGTTAATGCTCTACGCTTTTTCTCCGCTAAAGGCTAGAGTCCGACAACGAAGGTCCAGCAGCTAAGGTAGCCAGTCGGGCGGGCAGAGGGAAGAGCTGTCCGAAGGGAGGGGTACGCCCTTGTCAGGCTACTGCGTGCTCACCCTTCGCCGCTAAAGGGCCAAATCTAGCTCTTTTGGGTGTCAAACTTTCCTAAGTAGCAGGCACCTTCGCCCCCCCCCCCCCCCTTGAACACTTAGTTTATCGCAACACCTGCCTCAATCAGACTTTTGCTATGCGCTACGCGTTGTACTTCCACTCATAATCGCAACGACATCTGAATGTGTGAATCAGTACTTTTGCTCCATCAGACCAGTAGGGTACCAATCAACGACTCCAGCAGAGAGGAAGGCTTGGCTGAACTAGACGAAATTATGTGTGTGCTTTCTCCTACACGGCACCATCAGCTGCTACACCACCTCCCTCCGCCCAAAGAATTTGAACCCACACTAAAGTAAGCCCAACTAGCGATAACCACAACGGTTGGTGCAGATCAGAGGGAAGAGAGTGAGGAATCTCAAACTTTTCCCCTTCCCCGTTCTGTCTGAAATGTGGGAAATCATGAAAACATGCAGGGTATTCTTGCAAACATACAGAGGCAGCTAAGCGCATGTTTGGATTGCACATAGGGGCCAGTTGAAACAGTAATTTTATTATTCCAGACTACTCTCGCATGCGTATAGAACCGGTTTCGATAAGAAATTGGCGCCAGCTGGCAGGCTGAGGTGAAGGTTTGTTTCCATGACCACTCATCAAGATGTGCCTGTGGGCGGTGATTTATGGGGCGCTGGGCTCTGCTCTTAGACTCTGGTATTACTCTTGCAATTTCCTTATTTTGAGGTTTTGAACGCCCGAAACGGGGCCAACCTGTGGTCTGGACAGATATGGAGAGTTCGCTTTATGGGGCCCGTGCGGAGGTCAACAACTCCCTCATCTCGTCGCTGGACGGGTACATTAAGGAAAGAGAAGTAAGCGGAGTTCGGCTATTCATTGGTGTCAACGATCAGTCTGAACAGAAACGCGTCTGATGAAGGATGGCTTTCGGTGCGGGTCGCTGAGGACCGTCCCCTCAGGGTTGTTGTCTGGAGTGCCGGGACGAGACCCTCGGTAGAAGAGTCGAGGGTCTCGTCCCGACCCTCCAGAGAGTCGGGGAGAAAGTCGTGAAATTCTTGAGAAAGCACCAACGCTAGAGTTTGCGTCAGTCAGGGAACAGAAACAAGACAAAAACACACCTGTTCTAGTAAATTCTTAGGTAGGAACGTCAGTATACTGTATTTCGTAGTACTGATTCTATTATCCGCATGTCGTCGATTCGGATGCTCGTACCTGAAATCGTGAACCATCAGCGTGAAAGGCCAAATAAGGCAGAATTAGTGAATTTGCGATCGAGCTAGCAAATAGAACACCATAAGACACCAACTCACGTTCACTCTTCAGAAGTATACCTCTACCTCTAAAATTTACGGAGAAACGAGGATGGGTTACAAGATAGAGAAGGAAAAGGGAATACCAATCGCTATAGCACTCTGAAAGTTGATTTGGCTAGCCAGTTCTTACCCACTTTGAGACCGCACTCCAACGCTAACTCTTCCAGTACGAACCGTGGTTTGACTCATAACTTAGTTTGGATTACCTCGGTGGCGGTTCGGCCTGGTTGTTCGGGGTGACAACTCGATAAGCCGGCAAAACTGGATCGTTGCCGAACAGCCATCGTGTCCACCGATGCCGCTTCAGTATCCGTCCACCCGTCTCCGCCTTCTCGCGAATGACTTGCGTCGGGCTCGAGAATATAGGCCTGAAAGTGTGGCAACGATATTCAGTACGAGATTCATATTATTTTGCTCCCTCTATCTGTTCGGGCGGAAGTGGTGTAGTGACAAGTGGCGCGCTCACCACGCGAGCGGTCCGGGGATCAAATCCTGGGTCGTGAGTCGCCCGGGCCAACCAAGCCTTCCATCCCTCCGGGGTCGGTTAATTGGTACCAGACTTGTCTGGGAGGATAAAAACACTGACTTGAACATCGGCTGGCCCCCGCAAGTCATTGTATAGGCCACATCGCATTCAAACGCCACTACGAATGTACAAATGGAAGTAGAATGCGTGCCGCATCCCAAAAGGGATTGATCAACGGCAAATGCTTTATCCTTTATTTATCTCCCCCAACCTCAAGACTTCACATACACCGTCTGATGTGTTAAGCAGAAGTTGCAGGTAGGTGTATGTACTTCCATGTAATGAAGGAGAATTCCACAATAAGGTCGGAAGCCTAAGAAGGGAAAGCTTAGAGGCTAGCTCTTTCATACAGACAATTGTTGTAGCATGAGAGAGTTGGTTAAAGGCGCAGGTCGGGATCGAATTAGTCAATTCAAAAATCAGACAAGATTTACTTTTAGGAACGGTAGTGGGGCAGAAATCAAAAAACACCAACAAAACACTGGAATTCACTTGTATCATACGGCCGTGGAAATGTAAGGAAAGACAGCGCTTGTGGAGGAGCGGGAAAGTGGGGGGCGCGAACAACACTATGCGCTGATGATTGAGATGGCAGCGGTTGGAGCAGGTCAATGCTTGGTACTAGCTCCCTTTGGTCGTTACGAAGTTATACGAGTCACTACACAGTCACCATCCCTGAAATTAGCGGACTTACTATCTTCCTCGAGGAGAAGTTCTCTATAGATCTAATCGCGACCCATGCTTCCAAAGTTACAACTTTATTTCTGAATTATTAGGTTAGACGGTACCGAGCACTGGGCCAGTTGCCACATGTGATCCCTTAGGAATGGCCTGACGATAGTAGCACTTCGGGAAAGTGCAAACTCATTGATGTGTGTATCGACTAGAGAGTTCTAGATCGCGATTGCAGATTAGTCAGTAGAATCTTCTGATGTTTGGTGAGTATGGGAGCCTAGGAAAGTCATACTTTTTTTTTTGAAGGAAGGACTTCGCGAGTGGTTCTTCGCATGTCATCTCCAATGCTTTTAATGCAGCTGAGTGCATGTTATACCTGCTCAGATTGCAATAGAAATTTAATGCAATAATCAATTACCCTAAATTTCCGGTAGATAAGCCTGCGCCGATTTCACGTAAAACCACCCCCGCTCGTGCAGTGTAACTTTGTACACCTTAGAAACCTACCGCAAATTTGCCTATAGCGGTAAGTCGATGCCCTGATCACAAAAATGACTTTCATTTTTAGCGCTGGCGCCATCTGGCGCCAGTTGGCGCCACCCTGTCACGACACCTGTTTTCATCAAATTTGGTGTAGACTTCCGTTAGCGGTTATTTGGTGTCCTGATTACCAATATGACATTCATTCTCGGCGCTGGCTCTATTTGGGTGCTATTTTCCTTTCGTCTTTCTATCCACACCGAGAATGCTAGGAAGCAGGGTGAATATCGGTCGAGGAAATCCTCGACAGGGGGGTCGTACCTGTCGGGCTGGTCCATGGGGGGTCGTACTCTTGGGGGTCAGTAACAGAAGTGGTATCATGGTGCAGATAGGTAAGAGGGTATAGCGCAGCAGAAAATGAAATATCTGAAAAAAACATGATATTAAATTTTCTTTGCAGGTTCAGTCGCTCCATTCCTCCACCTTCATGAGAAGGGCGTATTTGAAGGCAGTACAAAGAATGAAAGTGCATCCCCGCAAAGAAGACTGCCACATGTGCGCACGCGCTGCAAAGGCACCTCCTCCTGCCTATCACTCGCTCCTTCTCCCTTAATACCTCGCTGAGAATGACGCTGTTGTTAGGGACCCTGTCGGAAAAACGACAACCGTGAAGAAAAAGCGCTGGGCAAATGAAGTTGTTTTTTAGGTTACAGGAATAGCACAACACACTATGTCTACTACAATACAGTTTCGTTTTTTTTTTTTCCCCCCCCGCCCCCCGGTTTTTTTTTTTTCAAGAAAAAAAGGGTTTTTCCCCCCCCCAACCATATAAATGTTTCAATCGATTCTGCAACTGTGAGGGAGGAGCGGCATGCTGTATCACCTGTATCACCTGTCGTCCCGTTGATCATCGAATTGCTCGAGCGGGCGCCAGCAACGTCTCCATTCGTCCCTGTCGCGTGCAAGAGTTGTCCAGTGGACCCTCCTCGCTCGAGGGACACGAGTCCTTCATTCCTTTCGTTCAGAGCTTTCGTGAAGAAGTCTGACCATCGGGCCGGCGGTCGTCCAGGTGTTCGTTTGACGTCCCGAGGGATCCAGTCGGTAACCGCTCTGGTCCAACGGTCATCGCAAAATCGCATGACGTGTCCGGCCCACCTTATCTTCGATTCCTTGGCGAAACGGCAGCGTCCCTGATCTTCGATCGTTGGCGTAGTTCGGCACTCCGGATTCCCCTCTGCACTTGCGTGTATAGGGTTACTCCTAGCATCGTCCTCTCGACAGCGCGTTGGATAACGCTGACCGCATGCTCGTCCTGCCTGCGCAGAGTCCAAGTCTCTGAGGCGTAGGTTAGGGCAGGAAGGACAGCGGAATCGAAGAGGTGGGCACGGAGCCGGATGTTCTTCGTCTTCTTCACTACTCCCTCGATGTTCTTGTACGCTCCCCAAGCCGCTCGTTTCCTCCTGCTCAGCTCTGGAGCTAGATCGTTCATCATATTGATTTCCCGACCTAGGTACACGTAGCTGGAGCATTCGGTGATGTTCGTTCCGTTGAGCGTGAATGGGGCATCAGGAACCAATCCGTTTCTCATAAACATCGTCTTCGTTAGGTTCAGCTGTAGACCAACCTTACCACAGGCGCAGTCGAAATCAGCCAGCATTCGCTCCGCTTGCTCGATGTTCGGCGTTATAAGAACGATGTCGTCAGCAAAACGAAGGTGGTGTAGTTGCCGGCCGTCGACCTTCACTCCCATGTCTTCCCATTCCAGTTGACGCATGACGTTCTCGAGAGCGGCGCTGAAGAGTTTGGGCGAGATGGTGTCGCCCTGTCGAACCCCTCTCTTGACGTCGATGATGACCTCCTTGTAGAATGGTGAGATTCTGGTCGTAAAGTTGCTGTAGAGCTCACGAAGAATCTTGATGTACTGAGTAGGGACGCCCTGGTTGCCCAAGGCTTCGATGACCGCTTCTGTCTCCACAGAGTCGAAGGCCTTCTTCAAGTCGATGAACGTGAGACAAAGCGGCATCTTGTACTCTCGTGAAACTTCAATGAGTCTTGTAACCGTGTGGATATGGTCGATCGTGCTGAACCCTCTTCGAAACCCTGCTTGCTCGCATGGCTGTCCTTCATCTAGTATTCTGCCGATCCTGTTGAGGATGACTCGAGTGAATAGTTTGTAGATTACAGACAGCAGGCAGATTGGGCGATAGTTGCCAATGTCGTCCAGGTCTCCCTTCTTGTACAGCAACACGGTCCTGCTGGTTTTCCACGGAGTGGGTACCTTGCATTCCGACAGGTAGCGCGTGAAGAGTCGAGCCAGAGTTTTGATGATGACTGGCGGCGCATTCTTCAGATGTTCCGGTTTGACCCTGTCGAGACCGGGTGCTGTACGATTCTTCACCGACTTGATGGCGTGTCGGACTTCGGAAGAGAGAACTGAGGGGACGACGTATCCATCCTGTTGCAGTTGATAAGTGGGCAGATGGACATGGCTATCGAAGAGATCCGAGTAGAAGTCGTGGATGACTTTCTCCATTGCCCTTCGGGATGCAGTAACTGTTCCATCCGGACGTCGGAGGCAGGTCATCTTGGTCTTGTAGCTGGCAAAGCTTCGGCGGGCATTGCGGATGCTCCTCCCAGCCTCTGCTGCTTCAGCTAATACTGCTGCTCTTCGCTCCTTGAGATCTTCCTTTATCGCCTCTCTGCATAGCTTCGCAAGCTCGGACGTGAGTCGGTGATTGCCTGCAGCTCGTGCGGCTCCACGCTGGCGTATCAGTTCGAGAGTTTCCGGAGACAGACGTCCCTTGGTGACTTTCAAACTCTCTGCCTTCTTGCCACAATCGTGAAGATGTTCAACGAGCCGATAGTACTCCTCGTCGATGTTTTCGATGACGGAATCCTCCCATAAGCTGACGAGGGAAGCGAAGTGGTCCCAGTTGATGACTGTCCTGGGGCTTCGCTTCCTGAACTTCGAGGCTCTCTCAACACGCATCGAAAAGTGGAACTTTGCGCGGAGGAGACGATGGTCCGATCCCGTGTAGAACTTCGGAACAACAGCGACGTCGGTCAGGCAAAACCTTCGATTGAAGATGATGTGGTCTATCTCGTTATGGAACTGTCCATCAGGTGACTCCCAAGTCCAACGAAGGTGAGGGGCTTTTGGAACTGTGAGTTACCATGGATGGTGTTGGTCGACATGATAAACTCCGACAGTCTCTCACCCTGCTCATTCCATTCCATTCCGTGAGTACCGATGTGAAGTTCTTCAGCCGTTCTTCTTGGGCCAATCTTAGCGTTGAAGTCGCCGACGATGACCTTGAAGAAGGTATGATCTTCCCTGTAGAACTTCTCCAATTCCATATAGAATGCTTCGTGTTCTTCCTTCGTCGTAGCTGGATGTTGGTGCGTAGGCGACGAAGATTGTCAAAGCAGGAGTTGAACCACATCTTCTCAATCTCAAACGTCCGATTCGGGTCGTAAGGCTTTCGTACGAATCGATGTTTATGGCCAAGTGCGTGTTGACGAGGACACCCACACCGCCAACGCCTCTGCTGTCGCATGTTCCAAGGAACAGTTCTTCTCCAGTATCGAAAACGGCGTGTAGCG